TGTCAGAAAGGTTCTGAAATAAATTCTCAGGAGTTAAATTTTAGCATGCTATGTTGAAAGCTAAGAAAATAAGACCGACCTTCAGAGACTTCTGGTTTCATTTCAACACTACCTAAAACACATACACAAAGTAAGCAGAGTATATAAAATTCATCCTCTCCCCAATATGAGCTGTAGATGGGAAAAGGCAGTTACTACAGATGACTAGAACATGTGTAAACACCAGTTAGAAAACAAAGATTGCAGAATTTAAATATGTCCAGGACTAATATACCAATCAACACAGGTCTTTTTATATAGTCCCAAATGAAAAGGTTCAGTGGTGATGTACCTCTAGGGATCTTGCAGATCCAGTCTAACTCAGAGTCGCAGTGCATAGCCAGCCAGGTCATAGTGCCCAAGTCTGCTGCAGCGCACTGCCGAATGTTGTAGTAGTAGCGGCCAAAGTTCTGGTACGTGAACTGAGACGCGAGCCAGGAGCAAACAGATTGTGTTTCAAGCGTACAGTATACTATACAGTATCTGGTTGTACACAGTTAAATCGCAGCTTTTTAGAGCAGGTGTCATCATTACTCACAGCCAGTCCATCGCTCCACTTCCAACTGCTGTTATCTGTGGGGTTCCTGCGGTTCAGTCCAATCCAAAACCAATGCTGCTCATGTTCCTCAGATTCCCTGTGGACCACATTATCATTAATGTCATCAGCATTATCATTATCACCACATCTCAGCTGATCAGGGGTGCACGCTCACCCAAAGGCCTCATGCAGGACCTGCAGAACAAAGTGCTCCTCCTCAGGGCCACTGATGCTCAGCAGGTTGGCTCCGTGTCTCTGGCAGAACAGGTGAGCCTGTAGCCAGCTCAGCTTCTGCTCCAGCTGGGAGGAGTGAAACACCTGCACATAGGTGAGAACTATGTCATTACAGTCCAATCACATATGCAATACTGATGTACAAGTAGTATCAGTATAGTATTAGTACTTGTTGAGTACTGATCAAACTGTGTTCATAACATATGAGAGTAAAAAAAAACAACTTTTAGTTAATTCATTCATTAATTAATAAGCTAATTCATTTTACTTTGGAAGAAGTTTAACCATACACAGATAAACTAAAGGATTCTTCTATAGGTAAAAAAAAAATCCCCTACCTACTTATTAAGCTAAATAAAACATGACAACACTAGAGGGATTACCCTTGTTGCATTGTAACAAAACTGAAAACAGGGCTCTGAATCATGAAAAGGTGACACACGGAGACATAGTTCAATACAGCAAAAATAATGGTAATCAAAGTCTAACTAAAATTAATCAATACTTCCTTCAGAGTACTGACGGTGGGGAACATTTCTGGGTTGAACCTTGTAACAGTAGCGCAGGTTGCTGTTGCTCTTCCAGCCGCTGGGACAGGAGCCACTGAGGCTAGGGGTGGGCTGGGGCACGGGAGGCTCGGGACTCAGAGACGTGTCCTGATTCTGACGGCAGATGAATTTCGCCTTTGATGACGCACACTCCCTCACCTCCCACAGACCTATTGTGAAGCCCGTTGTCATAGAAACACAGCCGCCGCCACCATGGATGCTAACTGAAATAGATACATGATAAGCTGTAGGTGAGTGGAGAGAAAAAAGTGGCTGCAATGATGAAACGTGTGGAAATGTGATTTACCTGTTTGTTACAAGACAATTGTAAGTGTTGGATTTGTATTTTACTATTCTCAAAACAAGGCCAACCTCAGGTGTTGGATTTTGGTGTTATGAAAACCTTAGAAATAACATGATGTGGAAAAAATCTTCAGCCACATCAACTAAAGTACCAAACAAACTAACAGCTATAATTTGTGCAGAGGTCAGTCAGTTCACATCTTTAGATCTTTGGTGACTCTAAAGCCAGTGGACTCGCACACGACTGGATTGTGACCGTGTCCCCAGGTCTGGTTTAGAAATTCTGGGTATTGGGAATCCTGAATTTTACAGGGAGGATTCTCTATTTTGTGCTGTCTTATTCTTATGCTACCTCAGTGCCTGTTTGCTAGAATACAAAACTATGACATGATTTTACAATTCCCTCAACAAACTGATCCCATTTTTATACGTTAAATTAAAATCAAGACATACCCCTGTTGGCTAGTTTTGACTGCTACTAATAACTTGGCTGATACAGACTGTCAGCTAATTAAATCAGCATTAGAGCCAAATTCCAATATCAGGGCGCAGCTCTGAATCTGTATGTTGGCAAAAGAAGGAAAACAAGTTAACTCATGAAAGTGAACTCATCACAGCAACAGGAACAAAGAAATGAATAGGTACTGAGCAGGGAAAATACTGTAGCGATCAAAAAACAGACCACCTAAGAAACCTTATACAAATGTGTAAATATGCATTATGAGCTGTTCACAGGTAAAAATGATCCACCTGGGATTAACAGATATTTTATTGATGTACAGTTAAATCTGAATTCTCTTGAACAACAAATTATTTCTATCTGTAAACCTCAGAGGAAACCTGTTCTACCACAAACATGAAAGGAGATTTTTGACAAAGAAGATGCTGATCTTCAAAATTTCTTAGCTGAACTAACTGTAGTTTATTCTGTATATCATCCACAAACTCCTCTCAGCATGATATAGTGTCACCAACCTGGCTGGTCTTGATTCCAGTTGGTGTAGGACACTTCATCCCCACTGAGCCAGTGGTAGGAGCCGGGGCTGCCCTGGTCATCTAGGCCAATCCAGAAGGCATCTCCAGAGCGACCGAACACCAGGCTGTTAGCAAAGGCTTGCTCAAATCTAAAAATTTAAAGGGGATTTTAAGGAGGCAGCACTGACAAAATACACTGTAAACACTGCAAAGGAGAGCGTGTATGTGTCAAAGTGTGTGCGTGTTGCTGTACGTACCGATTGGTAATGGTAACAAGGGCGGCTGCATGGTCTTCACAGGACTTCCTGGCCTCACTGAAGGTGAGCAGATCTTCTCCCACCCAGTAACACGCTGGACTGTGCCACTTCCAGCCCTGAGAGGAGAGGAGAGGACAGGATATTGAAAACCAAGTAAAAAAAAAAAAAACGACCACTCAAAATGTGGAAGCTCTAAAAATCTGCTAATTAAGAAACTATGGTTATTTATAGGCCAACAACAAATTGCAACATTAAAAAGGGGAATCAATAACACAGAATTTCTTTTGGGTGAGATAGGTATGTTTTAAATATATTTACAGACAAACACACAAACAAAACTGCAAACATAAATGGTGTTTCTCAGAAAATAATTCAAATACAATTTTAACAGTCAAAATGGCTGAATGTATTTAAAATTCATAATAAAAAGAACAAGTCCATGCATGCAGAAATAACTTTTGCCTGGCCTCCTGCCAGTTGATGTACTGTAGCTTTGGACATGTACAGACAAAGAGAAGATAATGAGGGGTGAGAAATATGACAATGAGAGTGAGAGACAGTCTGCATACAGTTTTGTGTGAATAAGTCCAACCTCGGTCTTTTAGCACAACTACCTTTGGCAATTAGACAGAGACCTCAAAGATTACT